GCCAAGAGGGCTGGCGCATCATACGCATCTCGGTCTTAAGGGCTCCTGTCTCAGCCACACGCCAGGGGCAGGTCATAGGTAGGCGTGGCAGTTACCGGCTGCCTCACTAGGGGCAGTGCTTCAAGGTCAAAGCTGGAACAGCTACCCACTACAAAGAAGTATTGTGGCAAGAGCATGGGGTGTGTGTGTTCATGTCAGCGGACCTGGAAGCAGATGGTGGGGACTAGAACTAAGGGTGGGTATAATCTTCAAAGGTCTGCCCCAGTGACCCTCTTCTGAGAACCACCTCTTGAAGGCTCCACAGCTTTCAAACCAGCACCACATGCTAGAGACCAAGTGCTGGAGACATGAGCTTGCTGGGAACACTTCACATTTAAGCCGTAACAGCCACCATGTTAGGATGTGCCAGTGGAGATGAATCAACACAGCTGGGGTAAAGTAAACCCCAAATGCAGGTGCTGGAGTGACAAGGGTGTGTATTTAAAGAGAGATTCTCCCCACTCCACTCTGTGTGGGTGTGGGTGTGTACACGCATTCATGCGGATACCTGTAGAGACCAGAAGAGGGTGCTGGATCCCCTGGAGCTGGAGTTACAGGCAATTTTGAGATACCTGATATAGATGTCGGGGATCTAACTCCAGTCCTCTGCAAGAGCAGTGAGTGCTCTTCACTGCCAGCAGAGCCATCCCTCCACCTCTGGAATGTCTTTCTAGCCACACTTTCCTAGACAATCTCTGTTGCCCATGCTTACTGGGTCAAAGGGGAGGGGAAGGTAACAGTTCATCATTGCTGAAGAATCGGTAGTCCCCTCATGTTCACAGAATCTGACCATCATCCGAATAACCATTTCTTCTAGCAGTCCATTTTACAGATGAGTAAACTAAGACCAAGGGGGATGAAGAGAATTTCCACGCTCAAAACGGGTCCGAAGCCCTGGATCATGGCCACCTCAGCAATTTTAAATCCTTTTGGTTGTGAGGGTCCCTCCATCTCCCTTTTAAATAAAGTCACATGGAATGAGAAGCCTTAGGGGCTGCCGATGTTGTTTTCTACAGCTCTAATGAAATAAACTCTTTGGAAATATGCAAAGAGCAGATTTGCTACCTTGAAACAAACAAATGGCAAATAGAGAAAACATTGTGTTTGGGCTAATTTATTTTCTCTGGCTCTGCTAACTCTTGAGCAATTAGCTAGATTATTTCCCTAATGTGAACAATGACTGTATTCATACTCAAACAATTAATTGGACAATTGTTCCGGGGTGGGCATTTACTCTATTTCTTCTCCCTTCGCATGTCACTTCCCTTTCCACACATGCCTGGCTGGCTCAGTGAGAGCAGTTTCCACAGTGTAATGTGTGTGGAAGATTGTGAGCTCTCAAAAATCATCACAGAGAACTATGGCTGTGCATTCATTCTCAGCAGATCCCCACATATCTTTGGATTTTTATGTTTTGCTTTGCTTTACAATCACTGAGCTCCGAGTTATAATGTCTCCATTATTTTGGTGGGCATATTCGAGTTGATTGTTTCTCTCAGCAGCCGTCAGCCGCCCCCGTGAGACCTCCACGGCTTACCTTATCATAATATTGGAAAGCAATTTCTCTTGACTGCTGTGAACCAACGCCAGAAACCCAAAACGCTGCCACAGTCATTAAGTGATTTCCAATTAGTTAATTGGTTTCACAGGCTGCTTCTTTCTAAACTGCACCTTAAATGAAAAGCAGAGCCATCCATTTTTGAAGGGAGGAAAAAAAAATCCTGGGGCCTCTGGGTTTTAAAATTCGAAAGCACAGCATACTTTGGAAGAAACTTCACTAAAAACTACCAGTCCTGCAGTAAGAAAATGTTCTGACTCTGAGCAGAGAAGAGTGGAGTTGCCCTCCCACTGCTGCTGCCTGACATTTGCTTTGCCCACTTTTATCTGGGAAGCCATGTAGACTGTCACAGGACAGGGGGGATCTGAGAGTAGGGTGTGTTCTCCTCTACGCCAGCCTCCTGGCTTCTGTACTGGGTGCTTCAGGGCTGTCTGGGTGCGGCGGTGGCTGCTATATTAAACCTTGATGAGAAGTAGGGCAGAGCCCTTGAGAATAGTTCTTTAAGAGGCCCCCCTTCCTTTCTCCCCACCACCCCTCTGTCACATTTGCGGGGTGTGACAGTTCCCATCTGTAATCCTAGCATGCAGGAGTGAGGATAGCCCAGGCTACAAAGCGAGCCTGAGGCTAGTGTAGCCCTTACAGTGAGACTTCGTTTCAAAATATACAAAACAGAACAAACCATCACCAAGCGCACCATGACCACCCCCAAGCTACTGTGGCGAGCTGGGCCTATGTCTCAGAGGGAGGGTGCTTGCCTAGCACAAGGCTGCGTTCCCAGCACTAGGGTCAAAAGAAAAAAAAAGAGCTGCTTTTGGAAAGGGAATGTGACGGTTCTGTATGTGGACTGGCAAGAAGAATGAGCTGGAAGAGAAGGGAAATGTTGGTCTGGAGTAGTTCTCGTCAGCACACATGTTAAAGGCAAGATGGTACTCCTGAGTCTTGAGCATACTTGATTTGCACAGTAGGGTCAATAGTTACCCAATAGGAGAAATAAAATAGGGTAATAACTGATTGACTTGTGATGATCTGGTTTCCCCCATAGAGGGAAACTGGCTCTAATCGTGGACAGAATGCGTGTACAAGGGATTGCAAGCATCCCCAACCCTTTAGCCAAAGACGGCCCCTATATAGCAGAGCAGCAGTTGAAAGAACGGACTTGGCTTTTCTCTTTCTACCACGTGGGTCCAGGTCATCAGCCAGCACACCATCTGGCTGGTTGTGACTTATGCGTGTGTCCTGTGACAGCCACATGTGTGTCCCCTCCACCACGCCCCCCATCCCCTGCCAACCTTATCCAATAAATAAATTGAAAAAAAAAAAAGTAAGAACAGACTTTGGAACCCGACTCTGCGTGTGGACATTCTGACAGCTGCCTTCCAGGTGTGTGGCTTTGGGCAAATTGTCTGACTTCGCTGCACTTGGCCTTCTGGGAAATGGGGTGAATAGAAGAACCCTTTTCCTAAGGCTGCAGTAAGGAGGAAGCGAGTCAGGTTCGTAAATCCCTTAAAACCACATCTGCTACGTGGCTTGTTAAATAAACTGCATGGTGGGATTTCAGAATCTTCTTTGTTCTCTGAGGGGGCAGAAATCCTCTCATGTTATGGCTGGTTACCTGCTGGAACTCGAACTCAGAAGAGGGCCACGCTGGCAGCCCAGCTAGTCAGTCAGCAGTCAGCTGGGCTCCCTGACCAGCTCTGTAAGATGCTTTCTTTAAAACTCAGCCAGTGCTGGGGATTTTTGTTAGAGAGCAATGTCGGGGGGGGGGGGGGGGTAGGGAGAGCAGACCGGGATGTAGTTCAGTCAGTAGAGCGCTTGCTTGGCATGAATGAAGCCCTGGGTTGGATCCCAAACACTACATAGACGGGGTGTGGTGACCTGTGGCCAGAATCCCAGCACTAGGGGTGTGATGGCAGGAACGTCAGGAGTTCAAGGCAGCATAGTGAATTCTGGGATATCTGAGACTCTGACTCACAGCTCTAATTCTAACACTTGAAAGACTGAGGCAGGATTGCTGTGAACTTGAGGCTACCCTGGGCTACACCATTAGCCAGGGAGGGCTTGAATGAGAGAGACTCTCAAAGAAAACAAAGTAATTGTTCCGGGGTGGGCATTTGGCCTGTTTGGGGGTTGGAGACGAAGCTCAGCTGGTAAAATACTCGCCGAGCGAGCATGCATGAGGCCCTGGGTTTGATCTCCAGCGCTGCATAAAGTGGACACTGCAGGGCATGCTAATCCCAGCTCTCTGAGCCAGGAGTGAGCAGCAGGAGTTCAAGGTCATCCTTGGCTACATAGTAAGTTTGAGACCAGCCTGGGTTACGTGAGGCCCTGTCTCATTAAAAACAAAAAAAGGAATGTTTATGTGTAGAAGTATATTAAATTTGAATGGTACAGGAGGCAGTAATTGGGTTGTAGGGCTAGAAAGAGGCAATGACTTCTCTCTCTCTCTCTCTCTCTCTCTCTCTCTCTCTCTCTCTCTCTCTCACACACACACACACACACACACACACACACACACACACACACACACACACACAGAGCCAGGAAGCAACAGAAAATCTTTGGCATGAGAGGAAGAACATGCTGAAAGGGAAGAGTAGGTACCTTGGTGAGGGAACCAGAGAGGAGGGAGCAGTCATAAGGGCTGGGGGTGGGGGGCCAGTGCAGCAAACCCTCGCCCTGGCCTGGGAGTTTCCTTCAAACCCTTGCCCGGCCTGAGCTTTCCTTCTGTTTCAGACGCGTCAGTTCATCACGTTACCAGCCTGTACTCCTTCAGTAATGACTTTATGGATTAAAAAAATTTAAACCAAATTAGACATGTTTATTAAGCATAGTCTTTGCAGAATGGAAGACAAGTTGCCAGTTGGGCACTGCTGAGCTGCTGGAGCCTATGGGGGCGCTTCCACCTCCTGGAAGTCGGTCCTCAGGTGAGGTCAGAGGATAACTGCCCCCTTCATCCGGTGTGACTATCTGACTACAGATGTTTCTTTCAGGTGACTTGCTGGTGGGCACAAGAAGGGAGTTTATTTAGAGGCATGCTTTGCTGGCCTTGACAGTTAGAAATTTGCCTCTCCTCATGTGTTTTTTTTTTTTTTAAATTATTTTTAGGTTTCCTTAGACAGCACATCCATTGCAGTCAGAGCCGTGGCTTGAGAAATACTAAGTATGAAATCTCATCACTATGCACCATTTTTGACATTGTGTGCTTCGAAAGTGGAATGTTTTTGGGAGTAGTGAGTCCCATGGTTCCTTCCCACCCCCGGCTTTTCCATTGCTTACCACCTTGTTATTCCAGAGAGAGAGAGAGAGAGAGAGAGAGAGAGAGAGAGAGAGAGAGAGAGAGAGAGATTCTTTTTGTTCTTGTGGTATAGAACACAACACTTTCTACTCTTTTCTAGAATAGCGACGACTCTTTCAAGTTGTTAATCAGCTCGAAGGAAAGAAGAAATCAAAGGGAATACAACTTTGTCTTTTCTAAAAGAGTAGTCTGTTCTTTTCTTCTTCTTATAACGAAGTCTACTGATACATTCACTTGTAGCGTCTAAGAAGATGGTGAGGACTTAATAAATATTAGATCAACCAACCAGGCATCCTATCCCTGCCCTCCAGGAACTTACGATCTACCTCAACAAGGTCAGCACCATAGCCCTTTACTTTTTAAATATTTTATTGCTTCCTATTTGTGGGAAACAAAAAAAATCTCAATTATTCCCATCCAGGGATGCTGAATTAGATTGGCTTATTAAAGAATTAGATTTGTTTATGAGCCAATTGGAAATTTCCTTGGAGTTCTGCCTGACTAATACTAATACCCTTAAAAAAAAAAAGAGTACGATACTAAAAATAGCACCACTGAAGGATCCATGGCTGACAGTGATGGCCCAGATGTGTGTCTGGGGATTCTCTGAGGCTGAGGAGAGGAGGCCCTGGTACATGGGACAGAATTTGGCTTTCTGTTAGTCACAGGACTTAAAACCACAATTCAATTACATAGGATTCTCTGCTTACATTCCCTCTGTTGAATGGCTTTTCTGCTTCAGAAGGCAGCAGGATGTCCTGATAGTCCATGCGTGTCTAAAAGCCTGATTTAATGTATTGCGCTGTACATGGAATATTCTAGTCTCCAGATATTATTTATGTTGAGGTAGGGCCAGTCTTGGGGGATTAGCGATGCATTAAACCTCATATACTTAATGGATGATCTTTTCCTTCTAGAGATGCTGCACATGGCTGTCTGGGCTCCTAGGCCTTCGGTAAGCTCTTGGCTTCTTCCTGACCCGCAGTAAACCCACGTTCCCTGCTTGCTATGCATTAGAAGTAAACAGATGTACTCGCTTGGATCGATATTGGCATTAAGCAGCCCTTGGCTTTCTGTCAGGGTCTCTGATAGGCGAGGGTTATTCTTTGGTTGCAGTGGGGTTGGGTGACAGGAAATTTAAGACTAAATGGGCTGGAAGTTTAATCCTTGGATGCACTTAAGTCTCGTGATTTTTTACCTCAGTCAGTAGGAGGAGGGGGATACCCTCTGTTAGCATTATGTTCTTTCCTGCTGCTCTGCTTCTTCCTGCCCATTGCATCTAGCTAGAATGGCCTTTCTTCCATTGCCAGACGTCTGGGCTCAGCTCTGCTCTTCAGGGGCCAGCTGAGACTCACACTGATTCTCATACTGACTCTCCATAGCATCTTCTTTTATTAATCTTGCATTTTATTTTCTACTAAAAGAAAAGAAAATACCAAGTGACTAAGTACCAACTGAAGTTTCTAGAAAAAAAAAAGCTATACTTGTGTTAAAGATTTCACAGGGCTGGTCCAATGACGAGGACATCTAAGACTGTGGAGATAAAAATGTCGCTGGTTTGGAGCCAATTGCCTGGTCTGTTTTTCATTCCCTTAATAGTCATCCATTGTCCACCTCTGGGTGTGACCTGACATCCTCCTGACTGTCAGATAAAACCCTTTCTGGAATGTACAAACAGGCCCTTAGCTCCCACCTACCCAAAGGCCAAGAATGTCATCATGTACCATTTGAGACGGATAACAGAGACGTCTCTCTTTTGCTATAACCACCTCCCTGGTATTTCCATCACTGAATTAAAAAATAAGCCTTGATTTATTACTTTCTTTGTACTATAAAAAAAATCATAAAACTATTTCTACATTGGAACATGGCTCTTTGGACCACCTGAATCTACAGCCATGGTCACTCATCCTTGGCTCCAAAATAAACTTTCCTACTCCCTTTGAGGTGAGAGCAGTGGTTTTGAGTTGATACTAGCCTCTAGGGTTTTAGGAGAATTGAATGATGTCAGCAAGTGAGAGCTTGGTGGGAAGGGCTCACCCTTCACAGCAGTTTCAGTTTAATTGGATCATTTGTTTGGTTATTTTGTGGTGCTGAGGATTTAAGCCAGGGCCTGTGAAGTACTTTACTACTAGCTGGTGTTCCTGTGTTTAATTTAATCTAATTTAATTTATGTTTATGGGTGTTTTGCCTGCATGCATGTCTGTGTATCATGTCTGCACCTCATGCCTGTGGAAGCCAGAAAAGGGTGTAGGATTCCCTGGTACTGGAGTTTTATAAATAGTTGTGAGTGGCATATGGGCACTGAGAATTGAACCTGGGTCCTCTGGAAGAGCAGATGGTGCTCTTAACCACCAGACCATCTCTCCCCAACTTTTTTTTTTGAGATAGGTTCTCACTGGGTAGACCTGTATAATCTAGAACTCACTATGTGGAACAGGTTGGCCTTGAACTCACAGTGGTCTGTCTGTGTCTGCCTCCCAAATGCTAAGATTAAAAGTATGGACCACCATACCCAGCCAGCATTTTTTTTTCTTCTAGCTTTGGCTGTCCTGGAACTTGCTCTGTAGACCAGGCTGGCCTTGAACTCAGAGATCTGCCTCCTGAGTGCTGGGATTAAAGGAGTGCACCACCACTACACACTCGGCTTTAACTGTGATTCTTAACCTTTTGTGGATCACTGATCTTTTTGAGAGTCTGATGAATCTCTTCACCATGGATCTCTTCACAGGCAGAAATGACAGTATGGGCAGTGGAACTCAACAGATTGCAGCCCAGGGTTTTCTAGCCCAGGCTCAAAAGAGGTCTCCAGCCACACCTCCGACCCAACCAGAAGCCCACCCTGAGCCAGGAGGTTGGGCACTAACTACTATGATCTTCTTGTGATGAGGAAGCATGGTCCTGCCCAGAGCTATGACACTCTAAGTTGGCATGGGGCGGTCGGCATGGGGCAGTCTGCCCTGGGCTCTGAGGAGAAAACCCTGGCTCACCCAGCACCTTGCAGCACCAGGCAGACGGCACTGCTACGGTGAGCAACTGTATGGAGCGATGTGAGAGAGAGACAGAACAGTTCACGTCCTGTGGACAGAGGTGAAAGAGACGAGGAGTGGGCTGGGGTGGGTGGCTTCATTGCCACCCAGGGCCATGTGACGTCTGGGCCTGGGCTTCTGTTGCGGCCCTTGTCTGGGTTCAGGCTCTGAAGCAGCGGCAGTCCCTGTTGATGTCCATGACTCCTGATACCACCGAAGGCAGAGAGGATAGGGCTGTGCAAGGTTGGCCCCGCCCCTCACTGACTGTGGCACTGGGGAGAACTGGTCCTGCTCATCACTGGCTGAAGCACTCAGGACAGAGGGTCCTACATCATACCTGGGCAGCACAATAGAGCTGACCCTGTCTGCCGGGGCATGGGAGAGCTGGCCCTGAGGGAACGAGAACGGGAGAGCAGGCCAGGCTCCTCTTGTATGCCGTGTGGTGGCACGGATGAGGGATAGATTCCCTCCTTCCCTCGCTATCTGCAAAAGGTGGGGGACCTGACCCAGCCCCTCACTAGCTGCAATACTCAGGAGAACAAGCCTTACGCCTTGCCTGGGCAGCACAATAGAGCCAACCTGGTTGGCGGAGGTGTGGGTGAGCCAGCCCTGAAGTTGTGACCATGGGAGAGCTGTCCCCGTGACATCTGTTTTGTGGTGGCATGGGTGGGGGACCCATCAATGCCTGAGGCAGGTGGGAGAGCTGGCCCTGAGGTCATGAGAGTGGGAGAGCTGGCCCTGCCCCTCACCAGCTGCAGCACTCGGGAGGGAGGCCCCTACGCCTTGCGTGGGCACCACAGTAGAGTTGGCCCTGAAGATGTAAGTGTGGGAGAGCCGCCCCCGAGGACGTGAAAGCAGGAGAACTGGCCCCGCCCCTTGCTCATGGCTGCAAGGGATGAACTAGCCAGGGCAGTGCTGGGGAGCCCACTCTGGTGATGAAGACAGGGGAGAGCTGGTGGACTGACCAATCCTGCAACTACCCAGGCCCAGAACCAGGGTTATGTGTTGGCCCACCCCATCTGTGATCTGCTGGAGCATGGTGTGTGTGTGTGTGTGTGTGTGTGTGTGTGTGTGTGTGTGTGTGTGTGTGTGTGTGGTGTCAGTCCTGTCGTCCCAGGGCTGTAGGATCTCCGCCACATAGAGCAGCAATGGGATGTCCAGGAAGATTCCCAATGAAGGCCCAGTGTCGACGGTGCAGCAGAGACCAGGGGCCTGGAACCAGACCAATGATTCTTTTTGATGAACGCCTGCATGTAAAATGTATGGATAAAGGGATTGACTGTGACTCACTCTGTCACACTGCAGCTTCCATGACGAGATTTCCCCTTTATCTCCTCTCTTTTTTATTCCCATCTTTTTCTCTTAAATTTTATTTTGTTTTATGTTGGGGTAGGACAGGAGATGGGTGGGATTAGGAGGCATGATGTGAAAGACAGAAAGAGTAAATTTTAAATTATTCATTTTTAAAAATTTACGTACATTGGTGTCTTGCCTGCAGGTATGTCTGTGTGAGGACATCAGACCCCCCTGGAACAGAAGTTACAGACAGCTGTGAGCTGCCATGTGGGTGCTGGGAATTGAACCCGGGTCCTCTGGAAGAGCAACCGGTGCTCTTAACTGCTGAGCCATCTCTCCAGCTCCGGAATAAATTAAAAAAAAAATGTCAGTTTGGGCAAACATTTGTATTCAACGTCAGGAATGCCTGAGCTCCCTAGAGTCCCAACAGGGGCCCAGGAGGGCCTGTCCCCTCTTCTAATAAGCAGTCGACGGAATGTACCTGAAAGGCCTTGTTGCTTAGGAGGGACTGAACACATACCACGTCATCTGCTGGCTTTCTAAATTGCAATCAGAACAGACTCTGTGCCCCCAGGAAATCTAGTTGTAATTTCCCCTTGTATTTAGGTTTGAGAAGCTGTCATGTCCAAGTGACAGAAATACCTCTGAGCAGAGAGCCTCGTCCTTGACTGACATATCTTCCAGCTGGCCTGCCATACCTTGTTTGAACAAATGTGGCCAAAACCAAACCACCCTTCCCTTAAGTTAGACTCTTCCCTGCAGTCCTGAGCGTGTTGCTACCCAGCCAGGTGGAGTGTTCTGCTGACAGTCCTGTCTCCACTCTCTCTGTGGGATTTACAGCAATTATCCTCGGGCCCATCTCTGTGTCTGTATTTTGGCAGGCCATCCTGCCTTCTGTGTGATAACCACTTTACAATCAGGGTAGCGAGACTCTTCCTAAGCCTTACGTCATCCTTCGTCAGAATGCTGTCATCATGCAGGGGTGACGAGTGCCCTTGCCTCCCTGCCCATGCTCGGGTGCACTGTGTGTACCCACAACTGTGTGTGTCCCTTTGTACCATGTTGAAGTCTGCAAAGGGTGATGTGGGGGGCTGGCTGACATCCAGTTTATCGGAGCCACATTAGCAGTTAACCTGGAGGATGCCAGTATCTCGGATTGTATTTTTATGGCCATGTTACCAGGATTGGTTTGTGTGCTGTGGAAAGCAGGTAAATGAGCTGGATAATCGCCATATTTCTATTCCGCTCCGTGCTGTGTATCTCGTGCTTCTGGAAGCAAAAGTTTTTTTTTTTCTACAACAAAGTCACTTCTCAAGAACAATTATGCCCCCTGGGGGTGAGTATCTCTGCCAGTGTGTGCCCAGGATGACTAAACAAATTGGCTCCCAAATCACCTTTTCCTCACTTAACTCTCTGTTGATGTTTTTCACCGCAGATCACTGAAGACAGCAACAGAAACCTCCACAATACAGATCAACAAACAAACAAATGCCAACCCCATTTCACCCCCATCCAACACAACCAGCCACCGGAAATACCTTCACAGTGACGGGAGCTGAGCAGTCCAGGCATTATTCAGTTATCCTACCTCTGCATTTTAACTGTCTGCCTCAGTGAGTTTAGGTATTAATATGTGTAAAGATCAACCAGAGGTCATGCTAAGAGGCCTATCTTTACTCACGGGGTCTGGGCAACACCACGAGTCCACGTTTTGGAGAAACCCCCAGCCAGGTGGTTGCTGCTGGTTTGCGATCCGCGGTATCTTTGCACATCCACAAGGCCATCCATGCGTGATGCTGGCCACCCAGTGCCTCTCGCAGGCCCTCTCCTTGCCCCACTGTTGTTTTAACACAGTACTATTTTCTTTCAGCCGGTGGTAAATGGAAAGGCACTGGTCTTGAGAGAAGAGTAAATAGGTTTTAATAAAACCAAGGCAGATTCCACATAAATAGAAACCATCATCCACCAAGAGTCCCCATTGCCTGCAAGTCCTCATTGTCTCCTCAGTAGTTATTTAAAGTTCTAAGTAGAAAATCGTTCATCACTTGGAATTTAGAACAGATCAGAAAAGCGCAGTGAATGTAAATTCTCAGTCCTTAAGGAGCAAACTTGTGGAGCAGGTGCTGAGGACCCGAGCAGCCTGGTTCCACCCATGCATTCTCTCCTCCCCTTCCTTCAGTGCCCTTGTTGCTGTCTCTTAGACGACAAACCACCCGAACTCTTTCCTGGAGTGAACTGGGGATAGGCAAACAAAAGACTCGTGTAAACATGTATTCTTTCCATCCCCAGGGCTGCCCCTCTGAGGAACTGCTAGTGACTTTGCCCCTCTAATACTAAAGCAAGCCATTATTAGCCTTTCTGAGTTCCTCCCTCACAGCGCAGGTCCCAGGGCCGGACCTCAGGGTCTCACATCCTCTGGTGTTTGGTGGTTCTGAGAATAGGGAGAAGTGGAGCAGTCAACTGTCTACCTGTCTGCCGCTTTTCCCTGCCAACTCAAGAGCCTTGGTTAGTCCTTTTTGTTTCATGGCAAGCAGAAACGGCACCATCTTTGTGCGTGCGTGCGTGCGTGCGTGCGTGTGTGCATGCGTGTGTGTGTGTGTGTGTGTGTGTGTGTGTGTGTGTGTGTGTAAGAGAGAGAGACAGAGACAGAGACAGACAGACAGACAGACAGATAGGCAGGCATTCAGAATGTTCATAGACTGGTAAATAAGGAATGTTTCCTGTTACTTTCTGTTGTAACAAAACACTATTTTATCTTTATTCTTAAAATGAAAAATAGTCTTTTTTTTTTTTTTTTAATCCTGCATTGGAGAAATGGCCTCGTTGGTAAAGTGCTTGGCATGCAAGCTGAGGGCTTGAGTTCCACCTGCAGAATCCTAAAAATTAGGGCAAGGTTGCATGTGCATGTAATCCTAGAGCTGGGTAGGTCGAGGCAGAGAGAGAGAGAGGGGGTGGGGGTGGGGGATGGATGGACAGGAGGGGCGGGGCGGGGGGAGGAAGAGAAGGATGATGTTTGAGGTTGACTTCTGGCTTCCAGCTGCACCCATGTGCACGTGTGTTCATGTACACAGCATCCTACAAAGAATTCCTGTATGTGAAAGTGAGACACGGAGAAGGGGAGGCCCACTCTGTCGCTTTTCTTCGTCTCCTCTTCTCTGAGTATGACGTGGAAACCCTAATGTCAGTTCCCCAAGGTCCACGTTTCAAAATCGTTACAGGTTTCTGTGTAAACGATCGTGTTAGGAAATTGGATTTAGGAAGTAGATTGTTTAAGACTGTGTAAATCTGAGTAGGACCAGGGATAGGAGAAATGAATATAGAGAAGCCCTTTCCTCATGGGAACAGTGAAGGAAATAGGTATGGCTTCAAGCAGTGCTCACAGCTGAGCAGATCTGGCTGGCTTTCACCTCACTGCTCTTCCTGTGTGGGGACTGGTTTGGGGGACTAGCTGGTTGTAAGGAAGAATGGGTGGGTGGGTAAGAAGGTAGGGAGGGAGGGAGAGAGGGAGAGGGAGAGAGAGAGAGAGAGGGAGAGAGGGACAGAGGAAGAGAGGGAGAGCGAGCCAGTGAGCGAGTGCACCAGTCTTTATTCTTGAGGTCTGGTGGGCAGGAAATGAAGCAGAGCCACGGGGAGTGGGTGATGGATGACCAGAGGGGCCTCCTCTGTCCTTGCGCTCTCTCTGTTGGATTGGCTTTGGAAGTCCCCATCTGCAAACCACAGGGGCTGGGTTGAGATTCTAAATCAAGTATGCCTCTGTTCATTGCCTTTGGTGTCCGGAAAGTGCTTAAGCAGTGAGTGAAAAGAGCATCCCCAGTTTTTATATGGATTGGTAGAGCATAGGCCCTGCTGTGGCTGTTAGGCAAATGGCTTTACACTTCATTATATATATGTGTGTATATGTATGTATATGTATGTATATTATTACTCTGTCTGGACACACACACACACACACACACACACACACACACACACACACACAGACACACACACACTCCCCTGGTCCCCCTTTCCCTTTTCTTACTGAAGACTAAAAATGGGGTGTTCCTTTCCGGAGGCTGCTGTCTAGTTGAGTTGCTTCTGACACTCTGAAATTAATGACAGTCAGTGTCATTAGTTTCCCCCTGTGCTGTGTGGGCTGTAGAACATGATGGATCACATTGCCACTCCAAAATGGGAGCCTTCTGAGGCAGGTGGGTGAGTGGGCTGGCCAAAGGCTTTGGGGAGTTAATGTGCTTCTGTTGTTAGCCACAGAACCACCCCTGGGGAGGCAGATGGTGTTTTGGGGGAGTTTGAGTGTGAGGGACTGGGCTGCAATCCAGATGGAGGGGGATGGGGATGCCCCTAGCACACAACTGAACCCGAGACCTGTTGGGGGCTCTTCCTTTAGGGTAGAACAGGGTCTGATTAGTGTGTGGCTGGAGGACCATCCAGGATGGAAAAGGGACCAGCAATGGTAGTGTACATGGAAGAGATCAAGGGTCAAGCTAATTTAGTGGCCAAAGGGCAATTTCTGCTCTTCTCTGTGTCCTCTTCATTAACTTCAGCTCTTCCACGGCTGTTGTAGGGAAGGGTGTGCAATTGTTCTACATGGCTGCCGAGGAGGAAATGGAGAGTGTTTTGACTCTATGGGAGAGAACTGCTGAGCTAGACTAGGCAGCTTCTTGTGAGAGTACATTTCGCCTCAGTTGGCCACTTCCAGGGGAATGAGGAGACCAGGACGCATGTGGC